CAAATGTTTTAAATTTTGAACACAAAAATTCCAAGTGGTCACTCACAATAAAATAACTCGAGTTCCGTTACTTCATAATCATTGAGCTATTGTTGCTTACTTCAAATCTATTGTTTAAATGCAGGAATTATTACCTCAGGAATTGAAGATAGAAACTGTTTCGGAAGACAGCTTGAACCACAACCAATTCACTCTTGAAATAAATGAGGTCTACATATAGAGAGAGCTAACTATATAATGAAAAATTCTCCAAAATAATTTCTGTGTAGAAGACTTTTTTTAAATAAAGGATAAGCAATTAAAATGTGCTAACTTGGAGCTAACATATATACTTTATTAAAATTCAACAGTGACTGCACAATTGTTTATAATTTAGACCAACAGTAAGATTTTCCCGAGAGGACTATTTTACCGCTAACATTGCTTAGAAGTACCAGATCTTGGTGATAATAACAAGCTGATTGATACCACCATCATTACCATCATTAACATCATCACCATCATTACCATCATCATCATCATCATCTTTAAATTCTTAGAAAATCCATAGCTTGATTGCCTGTACCTGGGGAGGACCTCTCCGACCATTCACCCTGGCATTAGTCCTCAAAGATTTTAGGTTTGGAAGCTAGCAGGCTATTAGTATCCTGTGTAAAGTATCCTTTAATGACAGGGTGAGCTATCTTGCACCCTTTAGCATCAGTCATCTGCTGCTCTACTTCTTCTAGAGTCCCTGCCACTCTCCACTCTTCTGGCTGTCCCATGGCTTCTGCTTACTACCTTACCCGACACCTTTCAGCTTCTACCCCTACTGTGAACTGCTGACTGAATCTGCTGTCTTGCATTCCAACCACCAGCAGAGGATCCAGTGATAAAGCATTTTGCACCAGGCCCTGTCACAGGCTGTTAGCCAGTCTGTAGGTTGATTGCCTTTGGGCTGGATACCCAGTCCCGTGCAGTCAGCGAAGACCAGAGTGGCAGGGCCATGTGGTCAGCTTTAGGAGGGAGTCTGGGTGGGGCAGGCATTCAAATTGGTTTCTCTCCAAAATAATTCTTTTTCTCCCCTTTTCCTTTCTTTCTTCTTTTCTTTCCCAGCTCTTATGACTTCTTTGCTATCTGCTTTCTCTCTTTTCTCTTCCTCTCTCCCCTTCCTTTCTTTCCTCTCTATGACAGTCTCTGCATACATACAGATATGAAGCTTCACAAATTGATATTCACTGCCCACTCCACAAAAATCATAAACTCTTTCCTTTATAACCTGGGGCCTCTTATTATTAACTGAAAGCAGATGAGAGAATTGGTTAACTTAAGTCACCATCCTTCAAGCAATTCTAAGTTTCTTTTGGTCTTTAGTTACCCAATTATTATAACATGTTTTTAAATCTAATCCTTTAACCATTTATGAACAAATGTCCCGCCCCCCCCAATCATTATTTGTGAAACTTACTAAACAGTCTCTTTCAGTATTAACAGTAAAATTTCAGGGTGCCTTATTTGGGAAAAGAAGGGTCAGAATTCACTGCTCCAAAGCCCCTCTGAGAGTTGTTCATTATTCTAGCATTTTAAAAGCTGTTGTCTTTTCATTTTTACTCCCACACAGCCTACTTTGATTTCTTTCCAGATTATAGATGTCCCGTAGTAGACATGATAGAGTGGAGGAACCACATTAAACGTGATAGAGAGGAGCAGTGGAGAGATTATCAGTCCTACTCCCCCAGCAGGTTGATAGCACTGCCCTGATCAGTAGGTAGAGGTCTCCTATGCTCCAGCCCTCTTTCTACTTTTTTTTTTCTGAAAAGAAAATCAAATTTGACAAGAAATCTTTATAAGAATTGTTTTTAAAAACATCATCCCATCTTTATATAGCTTTATATATCTCCTTCCACATGCATATGAATGTTCACCTAGCTACAATTATAACCAGGGACACATTGCTCTTTTATCCCCAGCAAAAGGCAGACAAGAAACATTGCTGTTGTAGTTGCAGGAAGGTAGCCAAATGCTTGCTCCAATACGTTGTGTAATTTAGCTCCACACCCACTATGCCTAACAGGTCACAAATATTTATTAATAAAATACGGTCTAACCTTTAGGAGTTCACAACCTAGTGAGGGAGGAGACATCCTAACGTACTGTTATTCTTCCAAATGGCCACTGCCCATCCCTTCACCTTTTCCTTCAGTCTGTCCCAGGCAGTAAGGACAAAGAGACTATCAATCGGTCAAGAGTCACAGGCCTCTGAAAATCCCTGCTATCCGTTCCTTCCTGTCACTCTCGAGTTAATTCTAAGGACTTCAAGGTTCTCCTCAAGCCACACAGCTGCCTGAAGACATTTTTTTCTGATATCAGAGACTCCATCCTCTCCGCAAAGTAAATCCCTCCGTAGCCTAGCACCCCCTTTTCCACATTCTGGTCTCTCCCTGGGACACCTCCCTCGCCCTTCCTCCTTCCCCATAGCACTTCTTGCTTTTCCCTCTAGAATGGGGCTCAGCCCACAGAGCACCTTCCTTCCGTGTTGTACAGAAGTTAAACTCAACAGCCTACAAGGGTCAGGCAGCACGGCTGGTGTTCTTTTGATTTTGTTTGCATATAAAGTACATAGGAATGTGTTTTACTAAAGAAATATGCTCTACCTTGTTCCTCCTTGAAACATATGGTCCTTGGTCAACCTTACATTTTTACAATTTTGACAGAGATAGGGATATATTAGGAGAGGACTCATTTTTCTCCTAATTCTAATCTAAGAAAAATAACAGGGCAAGAGTAGGGTTAAAATATGAACAGACACAGTGTCAGTGAATGGTGGGGCACCTTCTGAATAAATGGAGGATATACGCACACTTAGAAGGCTGCTCTCCAGTCACGGTTTGCCAAGTGGAACATGGGCCCAGCATGGCTAGCTCTTCTGACTTTTTAGGAGACAGAAATCCAGATGTTTTTGTGAAAAATCATGTTTTTTAAACGCTGACAGATAATTTAAAAGAATTTAAAATGCTGGCAAGGCTAATGCAAACAAGTGTGCAGGGTACAAGAGGGATGCCAGCGTGCAGTTGTAATTAAATTCTAACAGGCATTTATCTTATTTTATATGTGCTTAATTTACAACAGACAGCTATATAATTATGCCTATTCTAGAGACCTATAATCTGTTTCCGTGTTCACTCTCCATTTCTGTGATATGTCTGTGTTTTCTAGCCTATCTCTCCACAACATTACTAACAGTGCTTTTAGGTCAAATTACCCTCCTTTTCTTCTTCTTCTCTTTCTCTCCTACAAAAGGAATTAAAACATAGCGCTTTTAAAACTGAAGTGTGGAGTCGAATTAGTTTACAGATTAAATTATAGTAGCTTCACAGAGCTTTCTAGAGTGGTTAGAAATTTTACCTGTAACCTTACTGCAAGTACTTATTCACAGGAGAACTGAGTAAAGATAGTTAGCGCACACACACCCCACTACCATGAAAACTGAAATCTTAGCATATGAAACAGTCCTCTTAACACTGCCATGTGCCTTCTTTAAGCCTGAGGCGCTCCATCCAGAAAAAATTTTCACACTTCTGAACTCTTAACAATTTGGCACCCTCACCCACCATGAGCATTTACCCTACATTTTTATCATAACTGTATGGTTATCTGCCTGCCTTGTAAGAGCAGAGACTGTATAACCAGGCCTGGCACAGTGCCTAGCACCTGGTTGGCATAGCAAGGGTTATTGCATAAACTGCTATCATCATCCAAATAATATCTACCATTTCCAGAGCACTTACTGTGTAAACTGAAAGATAGTGGTGGAAACATGCAGCCAACAATGGTTATATTGACCTCGAAGTTGGGAGTCTCATCCCCAAAGAGAAGACCTCCCGGCAGGAGGGCAAGTTAACCACTGAGAGTTTACCTACACTGTCCTGGAGGCTTTCCCAGACCAGACCCTCCGAGCTAAAGCAGAACCCAAGTCACCCTCTAGCACATAACTTTATTTACTCTGAATAGGATTTACTGCTATCTAATATATTCTTGTTTAATTATGTCACTATAATGAAAGCTCCAAGCAAACAGTCATCTTGTCTATCTCGTGCTTGGCACACAGCAAATAAATGAATCTAAATTTTCTACCTTCTTGGGTGGCAGTGTTGACTTGCATACAAAAGATCACAATAAGTATGTTTTAAAATTTAGATTTAGATTTCAGGATAACTGGGTTGGCTCTATCACGGTTCATAATGAACTCTGGGAGTGGAAAAAATATAGTTTGGTCACATTCCCCCAAGCCCTGACTGACAAGGGTGCTGGACTGTTTGTTGCAGAAAGAAGCCACTTCCTCTGACATAAGGCGCCCCGCACCTCTGGGTCTTGCCACATCCTCTGACACAGAGGTAACGTTGGCTAGCCTGGCTGCGGCAGTCAGGATTCCACGCTCACACTAACGGAGGGGGCGGTGGGGGGCCGCCCGACCTCTCTCCGCCGAGAGCGAGTGTGCCAGAGGGTCTCCGCGGATTCGTGAGGCAACGCGGGGTGGGCATGGGTCCTGAGACTCCCTGCCTTGGGGCTCCCTCCCTACTGCGTTCCGCTTCCTTTACCTTCAAATCCCAGAACGCCCCCTGCGTCGTCACTGAGCCCCAGCTCACGTGAGGGGAGCGCGGTGGTGTCCACAGGTTCCCAGTGGGTCAGAGGCCTGGCGGGGCCGGGACTGGGCTCAGGGCTGTCCCGCCCCTGCTCCGCCTTCGTTTCCCGCCGGTTCCGGACTCCCGC